TCAGAAGCTTGAAAGAGTCCAGAGAGCCACCCGTACGATTAGAGGCCTGGAGGATAGGCCCTACAAGGAAAGACTCCAGGAACTGGGTTTGTTCAATCTGCATAAGAGAAGACTCAGAGGTGACTTGATAGCTGCCTACAAAGTACACCGGGGTAAACACAAAGATCTAGGGAGCAACTCTTCAGAAAGGCCCCCCCTTAGGAGGATAAGGACTAACGCACACAAGTTAACTGAGGAAAAATTTAGGCTAGACACAAGGAAAAACTTCTTTTCTGTAAGGGTATCTAGAAACTGGAACATACTCCCCGCAAAGGTAGTATAGTCGCCATCCCTGGAGGTGTTCAAGAGGAGGCTGGACAAGCACTTCATTGAGCTCATTTGAGCCCAAAAACCTCCTGCCCATGGCAGTGGACCAGACTTAATGGCCTTACAGGTCCCTTCTGGTCCTTCTTTCTATGATTCTAAAATTCTATTTTTATTAAATTCAATCTATTCCATTGTATATACCAAACTCTGGGCCTGCAGTTTTCAGAAATGGCCAGTCCAAAGGAAAGCTCGTGACGGGTCAAAACTGAAGAAGTGAGAACAAAATTTAAGTGCTCTCTCTTTCCCTGAAGGTATTCTAAAAAAAAAAAAAAATCACATCTCCATGTGGATATTAAAACGCATAGATGTATTACACACACACACACCCCTTCTTATAACACCTTTAAATGTATCACTCTAATTGTTGGCATACATCCATCTCCTATGCAGAAACAATAACCTGTCTGAGCCAGTACTGTAACATACATTTTCTGGGGAAGTGCCATGTTCTGCAAATTCATATTTGCCCTATAATTCCAATTACACAGGTGGGAGGAATTTTTAAAACACCTCTGCTTGCATCATGGAATCTTTAATGGCATAAAAGGTGAGAAGCTGTGTCGGACTGAATGTTTTCTGTGTAAAATTAAAGTAATTGTATATTTATCTTTGAAATATCAGTACTGCTGTCAGTTCAGTAGTGACAGCAGAAAAACATCACATAAAATCAACACTTTCAGAGACCAGTTTTTCTCCTCAGAAGTGTCTAGTCCAAGTAGTGACATGCGTACACCCAACCCTGCTCAGTTCAAGCAATAAGACTGTCATGGCTTGCAGGTGGCATACCTGACCTGAAATTCTGAAAGATAAAAACACAGACAATTTCCTCTTGGCACAGAGCTCTTATTGCTTTTTCATACCCTGGGGAAAAGACTGTTTAGTCAAAACTCTAGGCCTATTTCTAACTGATCACTTGCATTAAGGTTCATTAAGTCTATTTTTTGCAATCTACACAGAGGTATTTGCCAGGAACTCTTGAGCAGCAAAATATGTTAAACACCAAGACACAGTTATTTAAGAACAAAGTTATGTGTTTACACAACTTTTGTTTTGATCATCCAGTAAGTTTTTCTATACAACAGAAATGTACTGTAGACAATAAAAACTAATAGCTGCACAAACTGCTAAATGGTTTAGAGATACAACAGTGCTTTAAGCTTCACCAGCAGAAAAATTTCTTAAATTAGAGAAAGCCTCTGTAACTACAAGCAGATGTATCCCAATCAGGACATAAGCTCAGACTTCTTACACAGACAACCATCAAAGATATTATTAAATATAGTGAACACACACACATACACACAACCCAGGTTTCCTCTTAAGAGCTCATGCCCATGGAAAGAAAACTTGTAAATAGTATTAGACTCTATTGCTCAATAAACAAGGTTATTTGACCTTTAAATAGAAGGTCCTTCAATGAAAGCTTCTGTCTTGCTCTCCATCTGAGAGTCAATCCATAGAAAGTACAAGGACTGATGCTGATTAAACACTCAACAAAGAAAGAAACCGTGAAGAATACCATAGTTTTAACTTGTGGCATTTTGACAAATTCCGAAACATTTCAGTGCATACAAATTATGGCCACTGACGTATCACGGAGCCATCGAATTACTCCTGACACTAATAGATATTGGCCAATACAAATGCCAAACAATAAGAACACAGTCATTTTTTTAAAAAATCCACAGTAACAGATCAAGTGAGCACAAGTTCAAGAAATGCCATACATCTCTAACTTAATTAGTCTATAAGGAACAAATTCTCTCTCTCTCACCGCCCCCCCTTAGTATTTAAACTACTATTGCTAACAACAACAAAAAATGACACTTGAAATTGGATAAATTTATCTATTTCAAATTTATTTTGAACATATGAAATTATTTTGTCTATAGCAGTGGCTCTCAGCTGTGGTGCTGTGGCACCCTAGTATGCCATAAAACCCTTACATGGGTGGTGCAGCAGAACAGGGAAGGGGTGCGGCATGCATGTCCACTCCTGCCTGCATGAAGGTTCTCCAATAAACTATAAAGCAGTCGGAGTCCCCAGTCCTGCCGCAGACCTTCCCAAGCCAACCGCATGTGGCATCTCACAGAAACCCAGGTGTGCAGGGCAGTAGGAACTGTCCCATGCCCCTCTATTTCCAGGAGCGTGGGGGCTTCAACCCACAAAGGTTCTGCCCAGCAGAGCCCATGTGCACCTGTGTAGCGACCAGCATTGGCTACAGCACAGCTCAGCTCCCCAGAGCTCCCCCCAGCCGAGCCTGGTTCAGCGGGAGGAGTGAGGCACACCGGTTCCATGGAGAAGATGCTCAGGTTCTCCCCTACAGCTGCTTCCTGGGGCCTTCCAGCTCTACGGAGCTAGGAGGAGAGACAGGTCGCTTGCAAGGGAAGCTGCAGTCCACTGACAATCTGGGGAAGCTTTTCCCAGGAGCATGGGAGGTAGAGCTACACTGGGAGGAACAGTTACCCTCAAATGGTGCTGCAGTGGGTACAAAAATGCATACGGAGGAACAGCCCTTGGCAGAATAACAGCAAAGGCTTCCAGCAGCAGGTCCCTGCTGAAAGGCAGGCTCCCCCTTCCACAATCAAAGCCTTCAAAGAGACTGTGAGCTTCTAAGGGGCAGGGGCCATTCAGGCAGAAGCCAGCTCCAGAAAACCTCCTGCCCCATCTATTCCCCTGGCTGCTGCTCTGCATTATCTAATTTCAGAATTGCAACTGAAAACTGGAGCTAGGATCAGCTAGAGAGACAAGCAGTGAGACAGCGAGCCTGCAAGGCAATGAGGCAAGGGAGTCTGAATCTTGCTATTCAGACCATCCCAGCTTGCGGACAGGGGCCCTAATCTTTAGAGACCTGAGCTCAGCACTCCTGGAAAACCAAGTCCCTCTCCAGTGTCTCAGCTGAATCCTGCAAACACCAGAGCACCCAGAATAGTGATTCTCAACCAGAGTATCCCTAGGCTTCATGTATCAAGAACAAGGGAGATATTGTCCCCGCCCTATGTCAGGGAGAAATGAGGGGCTCCCTCTGCCTGCATCCACAGAGCATGCAGCTAAATTCAGAGAAGTAATGGAGGGATGCCTCGAGTCTAAAAAATTGGAGAACTACGGGTGTATAGTCAGTTTCTCATGTTTTGCAAGGTCTTTCATATAGAAACAGACAAGGAAGATAGAAAAACATGGCTATAACTACAAATATTGGCAGCAAGAGTAACAAACAGAGGTCGCAGCAAATTAATTGTCATTTCCAGATTTGCAGCACCCTTTTGATTTTCAGGCACTACGAATCCAGGTCTGTAACTGGTGGTTGGCAAAAATCAACTGCTGGTACCTTGCAAGGCTCCAGCAAAGTGTAATGGGAGCCATAGCAATCCCAACATTTGACAGCAAGCAGGTGATTGAGGCCCGAAAGCATCAGTATCAGACACTGCCACATGCCATACTGTACAATCCTAAAGACATGGCTTTCCATCCTTTTTCTGAAAATTATAATACACAAACTTAAAATGCAATTTTGTAAGAACATTTATCCAACTAATAAACTACACTCTGGGCCAGCTTTTGACAGCAAACATTTCATAAGATTGTTTTTGAATGAAAATCCTGTCGGACTCTCGGCTATAAAAAATATGCTGGACAAAATGTAATAAATAAATGATGTTTGAATAATAGTACAACCCATCTCAAGTGAATGCAGGCAAACAACCTGGCCAGAGGAGGCTGCATATAAAACTGGCCAAAAATTGAAGTCACTGGGATTTTAAAAAGCAGCGAGCAATGATGTTGATAAATGAAGATTGATAGTGGTATTTGAGGTGACATCGTTTGTTGTAAATATTCTTTTATGCCTTTACAGGCTTTAATTGTGCACGGGAATAAATTTAACAACAGGCGTGCTTGCACAATTTTTCCTCTGCTTAGCCGGCATTCCCATTTCCGACAGGTGTTGGCAGCATCCCTATTTCACCCCGTTCAGCAAAACAGGACAGCTATCTAAAACATTCAGAGCATTCACATCGCATGACAAGGTGCCAAAACATTTCCTGAACGCGAGGTCACACGCCTATTACCGGGGAACACACGGTAGCCTCTTCAAACCCTATCATAACAACCCTCGCGCTCAGGGGGGACGGGATCTTTACTCGGTTGCCTGCCTCAAAATGCAAGCGGAACGACGGCGTCTCGGCACCTCCCTCCACCAGCACCGCCACATTCAGGGACGGGCTGCGCGACTGGACCGGCAGGGTGACACCCGGGCGCATGCACCCATCTCGTCGGTCTTGAGAAGAAGCCGGCGAGCCACACCCTGCCGAGGACCCTTCTCACCCGGTCACTACCAGAGAAATGTGACCATCTTGGCATTCTCCTATGCCTGAGGAAGGGCAAAGCTTGCAATTATACACACACACACATACATACATATACATATATATATATATAAAATCTGGGTTTTTTGCAACTCAGAAAAGATCCTGTTTCTAGTGCCTGCAAATACATATATATGTATATATATTTGCAACTAAGAAAAGATCCCGTCTCCAGCGCCCTAGCAGCAGCGCACCAACACTTCACAGGGGACGAGTCCGGGAGGGGGAACAAAGCGAGGGGCTGCTTCCCGGCAAGGGGCTCGGACTCACCGGGGCGCAGCTGGAGGCCGCCGTCGCTGCGGCTGCACCAGAGCGCGCGCTCGCCGCGCTGCAGGATGTAGTGATCCTTGGCTTGGAAGAGCTCCATGGGGACAGCACCACAGCTCCGCCGCCGCCTCAGCCGCCGGGTGTGTGAGAGGGGAGCGGGGGTGCGCATGCGCAAAGCAGGTCCCTCCCACCACCGCGCGGCCCCGCCCCCGGGTGTGGGGAGAGGGGGTGCGCATGCGCCAAGCAGGTCCCTCCCACCACCGCGCGGCCCCGCCCCGGGTTCCGCCCATGTGACTCCGTCGTCACCGCCCCGCCCTAAGGGAGGGGAGGAGGGAGGGGCTCCTCCTTGCTGCTTTGGCCACGTGTCCGTCACACATGAGTTATCCCTTTAGTTTTGGCTGGTTGCTTGCTTGGGATTTTGGTGGTCTTCATCATCATGCAAAAAAAAAAAAAAAAGCAAAGAAGAAAAAAGACGTAAGAAAATATATTTTAAAAAATTAATAATAATAATAATAATATTTAATAATAATACTACAAAGGGCCTGAATGGACCTGAGCTGGACTAGACTGGATGATACAGGCAACCCCCGTTTCACGGCGTTTCGCTAGAGCGCCCATTTTAAATGGATACCCCCACTCCACTTCGCGCTTCGTTGTCATACTCGTGGGTATCTGTGGATTCAGAAAGTGATTTTAGAAAGTGATCTTGGTGGATTTAGAGAGCGGAAGTTGGTTTTGTTTAACGCTTGGTTTAGCTCGGTTTTTTAGGAAACGAGCGCGAGGCAGGGGTTGCCCGTAGACTCCACCAGCTCTCAGTGGGGCGCGTGCCCCCACTCCATTTAAGCACCTGACATACTGTGCATTTAGTTGAATACTTGCTTAATCAAGTACTAACCGAGGGCATTTATACACGTGCGTGTGTCAGCTCCGGAGATCGGAGCTGACGCACCCGGCGCTGTGTCACGCAGTTTTGTATATGTGGTGTAATGTGCGTTGGCGCTGAAAAAATGGTGGCGGTGCACTTTTGAACTAATGTACATTTGATGTGTTTTAATTCAAAAGCACGCCACCACCTTTTTCTCATTTCACTATTGATAGAAATGTATGCGCCACAGCACTGGGCACTTTTAAAAGTGCCTGGCGCAAGCATGCGTACTAATGCCCTAAATGTGCAGTAACTAGAGTCACTGTACAGTAGCGCCGACACATGGTTTCTTTAGTGATGCTTACTGCACATTAGCTTAACAACACTGCGCAGTAAGCTATTAGCACTGTTTTTTGCCTACCACACTTCTGCACAGTGTTATTAGGCTAATGCACAGGAAGCGTCTCATGTAGACACACCCACCATTTCCCCCTGTGGTAGTTATGCAAAGTGGCCTCGTGCTTTCTTGGCTGCACATTCTAAGTTTTAAAATGTTGAACTTTTTCTTTTTTTTTAAGTATCCTGACCTACAGTTTTCATCTTAGCTGACTGGTTCCTAGATATGATGGTCAATGGCATGGGCGGAACGATGCTTTCCATCCAGGTCACTGCTGCAGGTACCTGGTGAATGATAAGTTGAAATGGCTACTCAGTGTTTTAGTGAATGAGTGACCTCTCTTCTGAACTTGTTCCTTATTGATTTTGCCCTCAAGCACATATCTTCAATGCTTATCAGGCAGGCACAGAAATGCAGGGCAGTAATGCATTGTTCCACGTGTCTGATATGGAAATCCCACTGTGAAGGAACAGGTTCAACTAATGCATTTAAATATCCATAAACAGCCCAAACCACCTCCTCATATAAACAACATGCAGGTAATATAGAGGACTGATTGTGGCTGTCCTACTTGTTATAATATAATACTACCTTCTCATTTCGCTAAATATTAAAACACATGGCAAGAGAGAGGCTGCTTTATTCTTTGCAAACAAAATTATTTTATGTTTACATCAGTTGTTTGCAGAGGTGCTGTGAGGACTGACTGGGAAAGGAGCAGGTTTCCCAGCAGCAAGGTCACAGCTGAGTGCCCCAGGGCCCCATGCAGCCCCAACTGCTCTCCCTGCTGCACCCTGCCAGGGTGCAGAATCACATGGTACTGCCTTGCTCTGGGCTTCCCTAACCCCATCCCCTGCTCCCCCAGACAGCATGGCAGCTGTGGCCATTGGCCCCACCAGGGGCAACTGCAGCCTCTCAGGCTTCAGCGACTTCCAGGAGCAGCTGTGGCCAGTGCTGGTACTGGAGTTTGTGGTGGCTGTGGTGGGCAATGGAGCAGCACTGCATGGGCTGGCCAGGCTGGTACAGCCCTGACATGCAGGCATCATCTTTCTGTGCCGCCCAGCCACTGGTGACCTGCTTTTTGCACAGTGCTTTGAAGATCTAGGGTCTGATGCTTCATGATGATGCATCAGTTTACCTTGGTGTGACTCCACTGACCGTAGTGATAGTACGTGTCATAGAAAAGAAAGGGGGTTGTTTTGATGCAAAAGGAATCCAATATCCAGCTTCTAGTTTGCATATATTTATAAAGGTTATTGTACTATGTAAATGAAAGGTGCTATACAGGTATAATATGATTGTTGATCAAAATGTATGTATTTGATTTCATAAAATACATCAGGTGATATTACAGACATTGACTACATTAAAATCTACGACAGGAAATAATTGAATGTTCACCATTTTTTCTCTGTCTGTGATAGTAAATATTATAGTATTTCCTTCTTCATCACAAATAATAGTTGTCATCATCATTGGCTGTCCCTCAATACAAGGATGACAGTCTTCCAACAATTAATAGGCCCAGAATTTTTTACCCTCTGGACCTCAGCCAGAATATTAGAAGAAACTTGACTAGCTTTGTAAAAAATTACCTTGGGATAGTTCATGATTAGAAAAAGGTCAGAATCTCTATCTTCTCTCTCTGAAGGACAGAAGCCCAGTGTCCAGCAAAGCCCCAATTCAGCAAAGTATTTCTACATTTACCTAACCATAATCAAGCACTTAGGTCTCTCTGTATTAAACAATGTACTTGATAAGTACATTTAAGACCCATTGGCTTCAGTAGGATTTAAGCAGCGCATGAATGATGCATGCCCCCAGAGGCTGAGGGGGCACAGCGGCACTGGCGGCAGCAGGAGTGCAGCGGCGGTAAGTGGTGAGCTCCCACAGATGCCACCGGTGCTGGTCGGTTGTGGGGGGTGGCAAGCACTGACCAGGGGTCAGCGACCACCTGCAGATGCCACCAGCAGTGCCAGCTTTGTGCAGAACCCTTAAAAGTCAAAGCTAATAAGCAGTTGCATGGGTCTTTCCTTAAGAATAGTTTGCAGAACTGGGACTCAGTGTTAGCACAAAATATTGGTTAAGGTCTGAATGACAGGGGCATGTACCACTGACCAGATCATTTCCTGCAGCTCCTAGGTTTATCTTTCAAATCTCTAACTGGGCCCTGGGGTACATGAACACATCCCAGCAGGCCTGTTATAGTCCTCAGGGGCCACATTTATATGAGACACTGACTCTGCAGTACCATATTACTACTGCACAATAGCGTCGCATGGCATGAAGCATGACGTGACGCTACTGCACAGTAGTAATGAGCTACTGTGCAGTCAGCATCACCTAAAAGCCATTCTGCGACGCTACTGTGCAGTAACTCTGGTTACTGTGCAGTCATTTAGTACTTGCTTATACAAGTACTAAATGACTGCGCAGTAACAACAGCACAGTCAGCATCTTCTGTAAAGGCAGCCAGGGAGTTCAAAACTGGGAGCTGAAGTCATAGGGTTCATGACTTGGGGTAATCATTAGAAAATAAGATAGAGGGTTTTCTTCCACTTAGATAGGAAATGACATAGAAAAGAACCAGACTACCTCTCCTTACTAGTCAGGAAAAGGCCACCAAGCAGGGCAGGATAGGCCTTCTTTCAGCTGCAGACATCGGTAAAGGGCTTTTTTTTGCATCTTCTGTTTATTAATACATGCACTCTGAGGAAAGACACGTGGCATTGAACCTGAGCATCAGCTTTATTTGGCCTTTGGCTGGTGAATCCGCCCATCAGCTTACTGTCTTATCCAAATGTTGTCCAAGCTTGACACTGCTTAGGTCAAGTGATCGGATGAGCTTATACTTCAGCATATAAAAGGCTGTAAATCATTTTCCTTTGACATTTAAAGCTTCAATCCTGCAAGAAAATCTGAGAGGTGGGGAAAGGAGGAGTCTTAAAAAACACCTGCAGAGTGCCAGAGAAGTCAGTGGGACTTGCCAGAAGCGTAAAGGTAAATCCTTGATACAGGATAAGTGCTTCAGCTAGCAGATTTTTTTCAACTAACCCTAATTTACTCTGCACATGGTCAAAAAGGTATTAATTCCCTTATTTAAACCATTAAGACTCTGCCAACCATATAGGATTTTTTTTCTGAAAATTTGGCGTCCTGATCTTTGGCTTGCCAAAGTTTCCTACATGCATATTAAGCATGGAGCACTCCCATTAGGGTCAAATGAGATAATGGGTCCAGTGCTTTGTGCTTCAAGTTAAATACAGAGGTCTTTGAAGGTTCTGCAGTTTGATGCTAATGACAAGAATTTGTTAGCTTTTGTTTGGGATAGGCCCTGTTTGGATAAAATGTATTTTTAATCTTGAAAACAGGAAACAAACTGACAAATATGACCAAGGGAAAAAAAAAACAAATATTTCTAATGCTGAAAATTCAGTCAGAAAACCAACTGGCAATAAAAATATCATTCCAAATAAATTCTTGACTAAAGACAAATGCATCATAAATCTTTAACATTTCAGCTATGGAACATAACTAATCTCAGAAAAGATGTTCACTAAGATTACATGAAACATATTCAACAGTCTTCCTATGGAAACAATTTTGCTACTTAAATAGTCAAAGAATTAATGTGAAGAAACAGAGAGGAATACACTGGGTCCAGAAATATGCTAACAGTCAAAAAGTCAGGGGAACAAAAAGGCATAGAGCTGATTAGGTTCTTTAAGCAAATGGAAGTTAGTTGCATACATTAATTCTTATCTAGGAGGGATCACCTTCCTTGAGTAGCTTTCTTTGTACATTTCTGCTTCCTTAGTTCAACAAGAATAAAAGGACATGGTAGTAAGAATAAAAGAATATAGTACTTTTTCTTTTGGC